TATGTATGATAGCCTAAAGTGGTACTTAGTATGGGTAGGATTATGGGGTTTTATCCATGTATTATACAAGTATGACTTGAAGTTACTTATGAAGTGTTCTCTTATATGTTGTATGCTTAGCTTGCAGTGTTGCTATAGTTGCCTTCCATGATATGTTGGACCAAAGGTGAAGATTTCCTTGTTAATGAGAAGTAATCTAAGGATAAGATCGAAGGATGGTGAGTATGATTATGATTACCTAAAGTGATACTTAGTGTGGGTGGGACTATGGGATCTCATTCATGCATTGCAAAAGTATGCTTTGAGGTTACTTCAGAAATAGTTTTCTTGTGATACGAAGGATTAAGGATTGACTAATTTTTATATTATGCCTATGTTGAAGATTATGCCTATGACTATGTTATTGTCTCTTATGCCTATAGTTTATGTTTTATGAAGTATCTCTTGTGAGTATGGCATATATCTTATGTTGACTAGCCCTTATGTTATGCTCTTATGATGTTATTCTAGTTATCATATTTAGTACATTTTGTACTAACACACACTCTTGCCTACTTTGTTATCAAATGTAGGATCCGCCGATCTTGAGTTCCATGTTTAAGGCTAGGTTCTTAGAAGGACCAATGAGTCGAAATTGGTCAGTCCTCATAGCATCGAGAATAAAGCCATCCTTTCCTTTATGACTTTCTTTTATGTTTTAGACTATTGTATGGGTTGTGTCCCAAGAGCTATTCAAAGTTGTGTTAGATGGTTTGACAGAAAGTGTTAAGGACTTCCTCTTTGTTTTATGAGACTTTGATTGTATTCAAAGAATGTGATAAAATTCTGCACTTTTCTATTATCTTATGTTATGCTATGCTAAGTGGATTGAATGAGAACCCTTCGCGGTCGAGTACGCCATGTTACATCTAAGGTGTACCCTTGGGTCATGACGGTTTATTCTAGCTGTGAGAGTTGATATGTCCGAGATTTAGACTCATTTGGGGTTTTTTTATATAGGTTTAGTGTCCTCAAATGCTTAATTTGCGCCATAGACTGATGTTAAAGCCTTGATTTTCAGGTATATGGATTGAGGATCAAAGCAAGGACACTAACAGGCAAAAAAGAACAAAACAAACTGAAGAAGTAAAGAAAGGCGAGCTTGAGGATCGCCATGAGCATTTGGCGAATCGTAGAGTGGCTAAGTTGACCGCCTAAAGTTCCAGTGTGCCAACTGTGTGGGAAGAAACCAAGTTGGTGATAGAAAAAGAGTAGTCGGTGAATCGCCGAGTAGTTTTGCGATGCAAAGAGAGATCGCCCAAAGTTACAGGACTCGAGGATATTGAATGCCAAAGCAAAAAGGCGATAAAAGAGAGCATTGGGCGGTTCGCCTAGTGGTTCGGCAAACCTAACTTACTTCCCCTAATGGCCCTTCGTGGCTTATTTTTGGCAACTATAAATTAGATTTTAAACATTAAACTTGGTAATGATCTCTAGTTTAGAACATTTTTCTCTCTATAGTTTTGAGAGTTTTGAAGAACTTGAGAGATTCAATTTGAAGATTTTGCAAGTGGGTTTTGAATATTCTTCAAATAGAAGCATTTTAAAGACCAAATTAATCTTACCCAGTTGATGGCTAATCGATTTGGTAATTGTTTTGACTCTTTTATGATGTTTGGCTAAAACCCCAATTCTTAGGGTGTGATCATGTGATTATGGGTTGAATTAGTTTGTGGGTATTGTTAATTACTAGTTTAAATGCTATATGGAAGTGGGTTTAATCATTAGCTGAGGTTTAATTTATGAATTGTAGTTGCAAATGCAGTTCTAATTTTGTGTTGTTAGCTTGCTCGAGAGAGAGGTTTTTGAACCACAGATTTTGATTAATGATTTGTAGGTATTTGGTTGATTTGGGTTCAGCTAGAGAGAGTGAATCCTAAATCCAATCCTACTCATCTTGCTCGAAAGAGAAGATGTATTAAGGTTATGGTTTGTTGTTAATTGCTCTGCTTGTTGATGTTCGAGAGAAATCACTTGAAGCGGAATAGTTGTTCGAGAGAAAGCTATTTCAAATATAGTGTAGCCTACCCACTGATATTTACCTATTAATTAGTAGTTTGAATTACCCATATAACAAATTTTTCCTATAATCTCTCACATCCCGAGAATTCCTCTCATTGTTTTTTCAAATTGTTTGCGACTTCATGGTTGTTGATATTTGGAAACCAAAAATTTCCCATATGATATTTAAAGTCACCCCTTATTATTTGTCGCACGTATTTTTTTAATAATTTCTATTTTTATAACTAGTTAGATCAGATTTGTATCTCTTAATTCAATTTGAACATGTACCATTCGACCCCCTCAATTGTTGGGTTTTATACTGACTAACGATCGTTTGCACCTAGAATTAGATTAGGTGTGTTTGAAACGTTAATAAAGAGTTTATCATGATTGTACCATTTCCTTCAATCACAACAATACCATGGCTTATTTAGTTTAGTTAGAGATGGCAGATTTTGATATCATTCTATGTATGGACTGGCTTCATTCCTTTTATTCCTCAATTTATAGTAGAACTCGAGTTGTTAAGTTTCAGTTTCCTAATGAGCCAGTTGTTGACTGGAGGAGTAGTTAAGCAGTGTCCAATGGTCATTTTATTTCGTATCTTAAGGCGAGAAAGTTCGTTTCCAAGGGTTGTGTCTATCACTTAGTCCGAGTTAATGACTCTAGTGTTGAGACACCACTTATTCAGTCAATTTCAGTTGTTAATGAGTTTCCAAAAGTCTTTCCAGATGATCTTCTCGGAGTCCCTTCTGAGAGAGAAATAGACTTTGGCAAAGATATTCTTCCCGATACTCGTCCTATCTCTATTCCGTCATATAGAATGGCACCAGAATAGTTAAAAGAGTTGAAAGATCTCCTAGAGAAAGGGTTTATTCAACCAAGTATCTCACCTTGGGGCGCTCCGGTCCTATTTGTGAGAAAGATGAATGGTTCTCGTAAAATGTGTATAGATTACCATCAGTTGAACAAGGTTACTATCAATAATAAGTATCCTCTTCCGAGAATTGATGATCTATTCGATCAACTTCACGGTGCCACTTATTTTTTGAAAATAGACCTCAGATTAGGCTACCACCAGTTAAGAGTAAGGGAATGTGATATTCCAAAGATAACTTTCAGGACCCGTTATGGTCATTATGAGTTCCTAGTAATATCCTTTAGTTTGACCAATGCGCCTACAGCATTCATGGACCTCATGAATAGAATATTCAATCTTTATTTAGATATGTTTGCTATCGTATATATTTATGACATACTAATCTATTCAAGGAATGATGAAGATTATGCTAGCCATCTCAGAATAGTTCTCCAAACTCTAAAGGATAGAGATTTGTATGCTAAATTCTCTAAGTGTTAGTTATGGCTCGAGTCTGTGGCATTCTTAGGCCACATTGTTTCCGTGATAGGATTAGAGTTGATACTAAAAAAATAGAAGTAGTGTAGAATTGGCCTAGACCCACATCTCCAATAGATATTAGGAGTTTCTTTTGGTTGGCCTGATATTATAGAAGGTTCGTCGAAGAGTTCTCATCTATTTCATCTCCTTTGACAAAGTTAAGTCAGAAAATAGTGAAGTTTCAATGGTTTGAAGCTTGTGAGTAAAGCTTTCATGAATTAAATTTAGGTTGACAACTTCCCAATATTGACCTTACTAGAAGATACGCAAGGTTTTGTTGTCTATTGTGATGCATCCAGAGTTGGATTGGGTTGTGTGTTAATGCAGAATGGTAAAGTTATTGCTTATGCCACCAGACAGCATAAAGATCACGATAAGAATTACCCAACCCATGATCTAGAGTTGGCTGCCGTAGTATTTTCTTTGAAAATATGGCGTCATTATCTTTATGGTGTTCATGTGGATGTGTTCACCGATCACAAGAGTCTTCAGTATGTGTTTAGTTAGAAAGAGCTTAATCTCAGACAAATGAGGTGGTTATAGTTACTGAAGGATTATTATATGAGTATTCTCTATCACCTAGGTAAGGCTAATGGGGTTGCTGATGCTTTGAGCAGGTTGTCTATGGGTAGTACCGCTCATATGGACGAAGAAAAGAGAGAGTTAGCGAAGAATGTATACAGACCTGCACGATTAGGAGTTCGACTAATGGATTCCACAGAAGGAGTAGTGGTGATGAATGGGAATGAATCATCTTTAGTGTCCGAAGTTAAAGAGAAACAAGACCAAGATCCTATTTTGCTTGAATTGAAGGAAAATGTTCATAAGCAAAAAACTAGTGGCTTTTGAACAAGGGGGAGATTGTGTATTAATGTATCAAGGTAGGTTGAGTGTGCCAAGGGTGGATGAACTTCAAGAGAGGATTATAGAGGAAGCTCATAGCTCCAGATATTCTATCCATCCGTGTTCCAGAAAGATGTATCGTGATTTGAGAGAAGTATATTGGTGGAATAGTATGAAGAAAGGTATTGCTGAGTTCGTTGCTAAATGTCGGAATTGTCAACAAGTTAGAGTAGAGCACCAGAGGCCAGGTTTTCCATGGTCTCGCAGCCAGTGGGAGATGATTAATATGGACTTCAGTATAGGTTTTCCATGGTCTCGCAGCCAGCATGATTTTATTTCGGTGATTGTTGATAGAATGGCAAAATCAACCCACTTTTTGCCAGTAAAGACCATTATTCAGCAGACGATTATGCTAAGTTAAATATCCAAGAGGTAGTCAGACTTCATAGAGTTCAAGTTTTGATTATATCAGATAGAGGTGCACAAATTTTGAAGTCATTTAAAAAAAGCTTGGGTTCAAAGGTAAACTTGAGTATTGTTTTTCATCCTCGGATATATGGTCAAGTAGAACGCATTATTCAGTCTTTAGAAGATATGTTTAAGGCTTGTGCGATTGATTTCAAGGGTAATTGGGATTATCACCTACCTCTCATTGAATTTGCTTATAACAACAATTACCACTCTAGCATCCAAATGGCTGCGTATGAGGCTCTTTATGGGAGAAGATGCAGATATCCTATTGGATGGTGTGAGGTTTGTGAAGCTGGTTTGATAGGACCAGATTTGGTTCATGAAGCTATGGAGAAAGTGAAGGTCATTCAAGTGAGGATGAAAATAACACAGAGTGCTCAGAAGTCCTACACTAATGTTAGAAGAAGAGACCTAGAGTTTGAAGTAGATGACTAGGTATACTTGAAGGTTTCACCCATGAAGGGTGTTATCAAATTTGGTAAGAAGGGAAAACTTAGTCCCCGATATATTGGTCCTTATAGGATATCCAAGAGGATTCGTAATGTAGCCTATGAGTGGGAACTACCGCAGGAGTTAGTCGTAGTTCATCCAGTGTTTGACATTTCTATTTTGAAGAAGTGTATAGGTGATCCTTCACTTATCATACCTACAAAAGACATTGGTATTAAGGTTATCATATCTTATGAAGAGATTCCTGTTCAAATTCTAGATCGGCAGATTAGCAAGTTCAGGACCAAAGAAGTAGCATTAGTCAAAGTTCTATGGAGAAATCAGTTCATTGAGGAAGGTACTTGGGAAGATGAGGAGGACATGAAGAAGAGATACCCACAACTCTTTGAGTCCGGAGGATCTCCAAATTAAGGTACTAATCCTTAACTTGGCATTTTTTTAAAGTTGGTTTATTGTGTTTACATTTTGCTTGTTGGGTGTTTGAGCTAGATCTTAGATATTACATCCTAAGCCTACTAAGGGTAATCTCATTCGACAACAAATTTTCTCAAGGGGGAGATATTGTAACACCTCGCTAATTGAAAGAACTAGAAAGAACTAGAATTTGAAAGAAACCATTTTTGGAAATAATCAGATTTGGAAAGTTTGACAAAGTGAAGCTAAGTATGAACTTTGGGGAAACATTAAACGACCATAACTCCTGGATGATTTAGGTGGGATACAAGATAGCATAGGAAATATCTTTGAATTTTCTTTTCAACGTTACCGAGTTTGATCAATTTTTAGTTCGTATGAGGGAGATATGCCTAGTTGAAGTCAGGTTGTCTAGATAAGGATAGTCAAAACCAGATTTTAGGAGGGTATTATGGTCTTTTCCATGACCAATTAATATATGTCATTTTAAAAAATTTAATTGGGGTCTAAATTGAGTTAGTTCAGTTAACACATTTACAACATCACACTAGGTTTTTTGAAGAAAGGAGATGAAAAGTTCAACATTCATCAAGTTCCTGCGATTTTGGTTGTGGATTTCGCCAAGGATTCAATCCTATGAGGTATGTGAGTTCACACAGCGTTGGGTTTGTTCACCCATGCACCAAACATGTTTATTTCAGCGTTAATTCATCATAAAAAGGTTGAAAGTTTGATGTTCTTGATATGTGTTCTTGAATTTGCTTTCGTTCTTGAATTGGGCTGAGATTGAGGAGTTCTTGAGATTATTGCGTCGATTTATAAAGTTGTTTTGAGTTAGGTTCTTTTGTACATGTGCTGGGTATCTGAATCATAAAGGGAAGTTGAGCAAAATAATCGAATTTAGGTGAATTGGGGTTAAAAAATGTAGAAGGAAAAAGTCGGGCGAATCTGGCAACCCAGTCCGCATCGCGGACCTACCTCCCCATTTCACATAATTTTTCTTCACGTCGCGGAGAGGTCACTGACCGTTCTGCCTAAAAAATTATTTTGCTACAAAATATTTAAATGCATCTCTGCGTCGCCGACTTGCTTCCTGACAGTGATTTCCTAATCGTTTCTTTTGTTTAACTATCTACAATCATTCCTAAACATCACGAGATATTTGTTATCATAAATCATAACCTTGAATTCATAATTCAAATTCAAGGTAGAGTTAAGAGTGAAGTCTTGAGAGATCTTGGAGTCATTTTAAGAAGTCTTCTGCAAACCTTTTAAACTTGTTTTAAGACATAAGCATTAAGTTGAGTAAGAGTAAGAATAAAGTTTATTTCTTCAAAAGATTATACGTTAACTAAGTATTTCCAAGAGTAAAAAATGTTTTCACATGTAAACAAGAAAGGGAACACTGATTTCCAAGAGAGCTTTTAAGCTAGTTTTTGAGTAATAATCTCAAACCATAGAAAGAGTTATGTTTTTAAAGATATGAGCTGAGTATATTTTGGGAGTAGTATTGAGCATCGATATGGGGACGAGTTCATAATAACTCAAGTCTCCATAAACCATGTAGCCAACGTGGGTAGTATGGACCATACTTTTTAGATGATTCCTTAATGCTTTTAGCATAGACTAGTGGATTCACTTCGTTGAAGCATTCTATATCCAGACAAGTTATAGGATAGCTCTGGCAGCATAGGCGAGACGTTGTATCATAACATAGCTTATAGTGATGGTTGTCGGTTCGAGAAATTCCCAGATAGTATATTTATTTATTATACAAATATATATATATATATATATGTTGAGGTGTTATTGTTTTTTTTGTCAATTCATTGAGTTGCTACATATTGTTTAAATGCTTTATATAAACTACATCTTTACTATTGTTTATTTATGCATTGAGTTAAATATCCATGAGTTGATTAAATCTGAGGTAAGTGTTTCTTTCAGAATTCAGTTCAAGCTCATGTCATATTTAATTTTCCCCTCGCATGCTCATATATAAAATGTACTGATGTCATTTAGCCTGCATCATTTTAAGATGCTGATATAGGTAATCAAGATCAGCATCTAGCGCCTCGTTGATCCATTCGAGCACTCAGAGTCAGTTGGTGAGCCTCATTTCTTTTCGGAAGATCCCTTTGATTATGTTTTGTTTTATTGCTTTGTTTATTTCAGCTGTTAGGATGATCTGGGGTCTTGTCCCGACATCCCTCTTAGTATTTATAGGCATCATAGACAGTTAGTTATTAGTTCTTTAGTCTTGATAGTTAAGTTGCGTGATTTTAAAGACTTGAGTTGCCATTTTAGCTAAGTTGGATGTTATTTTCTAAAACATTCTTAGTTATCAATTCAGACAGTTTATTGATGATTGTATTTAGGTACATTTTCTGTTGAGTAAGTCTTCCGCTGAGAGTCTAGCCAAGCCAAGGGTTCGCTTGGGGCCATCAATGTTCTCGAGTGCCAGTCTCGCCTAGTGTGTAGGCTCGGGGCATGACACCGAGGTTTAAAAGAATCGATCCTCTCAGGATAGAATGATTTTATTCACCAGTGTATTGATACAAATATAATGGTGTAGTAAGACACTCAACAAGATCTAAGTACACGAATATTTATTTGTGCAGAAGAAGAAGAAGTTCAGAATTTTCATTGTTTTAAAATGAGAGGAAATCGCTTTTATGTATAGACAACAAAGGGTAGTGTCAACAACTGTTTATTGTACTTTATCAGAATGGTCACAACTCTTTGGAAAAGTTACAAACCTTCGAAAAGGTAACAATCTTTCATAAAAGTCATATATTTTCATAAAGTCGCAACTCATCATAAAATTCACAAATTTTCGTAAAAGTCACAACTTTTGATTAAAGTCACAACCCTTCTTAAAAGAGACAACTTTTCATAAAAGTCACAACGTTTCATGAAAGGGGAAGGATAGTTTTGGAAATAAATAAATTTAAAAAGAAATCTTGGTTTGTGGTGGCGCCACGTAAGCGGGCCTAGGGTTCTCTTTTATATATATGATGATGGACCCACAAAATTTCTTCACTTTTGCTTCATTAGATAGGCCTAATGCCTTTGAAATGTTTTGTCCATGTCAAAAGTGACGTAATATGAAATTTGTTTTAAAAAAATTGATTGTTTAACATACCGTGATTGATGAATTTCTAATTAGTTATACTAGTGGGACTTTTCATGGGGAGATCATCTTCATCAACATGTTTGCATCAGTTAGATAAAGGGGATGAAATGCAACACATGTTACCTCAAGCATTTGAAATTCCTACTACATCTAGCTTTGTTTATATGGACACAAGTGGTGATGGATTGGCTAGTTCAAATCAACATAATAGGGAGTTTGATAAGTTGACTGGAGAATTTTTTAAATTATTGAAAAAAGTTGAATGTTAGATATACCTAGGAAGCAAGTATTCTCTACTTTTATTTCTTGTTCATATTTACATTTAATGTGTCTTCTTGGGTGGAGTAACACTTCGTTTTCCCTGTTGCTAGAGTTGTTAAAGTGTGGTTTTTTTTAAGGTGAAATATTACCCAAATCTTTTAATAATGAAAAAAAATTGTGAATGATTTAGGACTTGAATATAAAAAAATGAATGCATGTCCAAATTATTTTATGATTTATTGGAATATTGTAAGTTTTGCAAAGCTCCAAGATACAAACAGTTTAAAGGAGAATCAATGGCAGTAGTTCAGAAACATAAGAAATTCTAGCAAAAGTGTTTAGATATTTACCATTGATACCATGACTTCAAAAACTATTTATGTTCACTAAAGCATCTACCCAAATGAGTTGGCATGTTTAAGGTCGCACTAAATATGGGGTAATGCAACATGCTGCTGACAATATTACATGGCGAAATTTTGATGAAACATTTGTAGATATCGCTCAAGACACTCGAAATGTTATATTTGGATTGGCTTCAGATGGATTTTCCATTCAAGTCTATATCTATCTCACATAGCATATGGTCGGTCGTCTTGGTTTCTTATAACTTGCCACCATGGTTGTACATGAAATAACCATATTCAATATTATCAATGAATATTGATGGCCCTCGTTCACCAGGTAATGATATTGATCTATATCTATGACCCTTAGTTGATGAGTTAAAATAATTATGGATTGGTGTTGCCACTTATGATGCATCAAATAATCACATGTTTCAAATGTGTGCATCATTGCTTTGGAACAATCAGTGATTTTCCAGCACTAGGTAACTTACCAGGATATGGCGTGAAAAAAATATATGATCCATCTCATCTTATACTATGTTTAGAAGATTGAAAAAATGGTTGGAAGTATTGTTTCATGACTCATATCTGATAGTTACTTCATAGTCAAAAGTTTTGAAAAGATAAAGTTACGTTCAATGACCTTGTGGAATTGGAGGTTGCATCCAAATGACTGTCCGCTATTGAGATTTTTAATAAAATGAAATATATTAGAAATAAATTTGTAAAATATCCATTAGAAAAATCTCGTAAAAGGAAATGAGGGGATGTTGATGATGTTGGTAATGTGTTGGAAAATATATGAAACAAAAGGAACATATTTTTTGAGTTGAATTACTGGAAACACAATATGATGCGTCATATTCTTCACACAATGCATATTGAAAAGAATGTCTTTGACAACATATTGTGAACATTATTAATATTGATGGTAAAGGAAAAGACACTTGAAAGTCTCGTTTGGATTTACGAGAGATGGGGATCCCAAAAGTTCTACATCATAACAAAAAAATATAATGAGAAACATTATCTATCACTTGCATGTTTCATGTTGAGTAACACACAAAAAGATATGCTCTTATAGGTTTTAAGATATGTGAAAGCTTCATATGGTTATGCTTCAAATATCTCAAATTGTGTTGATCTTAAACCAAACACCATGCATGGATTGAAGAGTCATGACTATCATATTTTAATGCAACGGTTCCTTCATATTTCCTTGAGGAATCTGGTGCTAGTTAATGTTCTTA